CTGAAAAAAGTGACTTTATGACCATTTCTTACACTTATGAGTGTTGCAAAATTCCCGTGGTCATGTGATTTACAATTCAGGTGCTTGCTGGTTCATATTTATGATGGTTGCAATATTCTGGGGTCATGTGATTCCCCCTTTTGCCATCTCCTGACAAGCAAAGTCAATGGGAAAAGCCAGGTTTACTTAACAACTGTGTTACTAATTTATCAATTGCAGTGAATCACTTAACAAGTATAAGAAAAGTCGTAAAATGGGGCTAAGCTCATTTTTAACAAATTTCTCATTTAGGAACATGTTGGGCTGAATTGTGGTTGTAAGTCGAGGACTAACTGTATTGCCAACCCTAGCCAGGCCTCCCCCATCCTATATTTTGGTACCTGACATTTTCCTCCATTTCCCACTTCTTCCTCTTAAGTTTCTTCTCAGCCATAGCTGGGCACCTTCCTAGCTCCATCTCTCCCCACTTGTGATTATGAGTCAATCCTACTGAGAGATGGAGTAATTATGGACACAGCAGCATCGCAATTGTGCCCTCAGCTTCATCATCAAAAGGGAAAAATGGGGCAAAGTGTTGAAATCACCTGAAAGTATAATGCACAGACCTCTTCTATGCCCTATGTGCTACCTACTTCATCGTAAAGTAACTTGCTTGTATCAGCCCTTGTTTTTCTAATACAAGGGCTACTGAAATTCAAGTAATCAAGACTTAAGATCTAACAAGGAATCTCATTCTGCACTCATGTTCTACACCATGCTTAAGTAAATAAATCACAGAACAGGCAGTCCTCAGTTTAATAACCAGTCACTTAACCACTGTTTGAAGCTATGACGGACTTGCGAAAGGCTTATTTATGAGCCATCCTCAAAGTTATGACTTCTGTACAAGCACCTTATGCTGTCACATGGTAGCATGTTGGGCACTTGGCAGCTAGCTTGCATTTGTGAGTGTCTGCAGTCAAAACACCACAATTTGTCACATTTTTGTGAGTGTCTGCAGTCAAAACACCACGATTTGTCACATTTTTTGCCAGTTTCCAGCAGAATATGGCAAAAACTGCCCACTGGATATGCTGCATTTGCTTAGCGATCATGTAAATTGCTTAACGACCATCGTAAAAGCAATGATAAAATCAAGTCAGGTCACATGGTAGCCCACTTTAGCAACCATAAGGACTCACAGCCCAAATGTTGGGCTTAATTGTGATGGTAAGTTGAGGACTATCTGTACAACTTCCTCCAGTGGTCTGATTGACATACTGAGGGATCCCACAACTTGAACTACAGTTACTGTTTTGGCCTAGTTCAGGGAGATTCTCTAGACCAGCAAGCCTGATTCCTAAAGTGTGGGTTTTTAAAGAACCCATAAGCAGTCTATGAAATTAACAGCTTTCTCTCCTTCTGATGTTCTCCAGCAGCTAATTACGGCAGTGGTGTACAATGCTTGGTAGCATGGAGGCTCTGTTTAATCCCCGAGGGGTAATGTCAATGGAATAACTCTTCTCTTACACCCTATAGCAGAGTCCCCCAATGTTTCCTGGTTGGCGGTCTGGAGCAAAGGGGGGGGGCGGGGGGAAAGAGGGAATGATTTTGTGGGAGGGGCTGGCGCGCGCGCGCGCGTGTGTGTGAGTGCCCACAATGAGGCTCGTGTGAATGGGACCGTGTCTGTAGCAACACTTACACAAGTGGGGGTGTGCACGGACGCACATGCACTGGCCGGCTACTCGTGTGGCCCAGTGGTGATTAGGCCACGGCCTAGCAGTGGGTCGCGGCCCACAGGTTGTGGACCCCTGCTCTATAAGCCAACCTAATTTGTAGCCTGCTTTAGGAACGCCATACTGTCTAAAATGCTTTAGAGCTGGAAGGATGGTCTACTCCTAATCAAAGCCATGTTAACAAGGCTACCACTGTACAGGTAGTCCCAACCATTCATTTAGCGACCGTTCAAAGTTACAACGGCACTGAAAATAGTGACTTATTATTGTTTTTCACCCTTACAACCGTTGTAGCATTTATATGATCAAAATTCAGCCGCTTGGCAACTGGCTCATATTCATGATGGTTGCAATATTCTGAGGTCACGTGATCCCCTTTTGCGACCTTCTGAGAAGCAAAGTCATTGGGGAAGCTAGATTCGCTTAAAAACCGTGTTACTAACTCAACAACTGCAAGTTGTTTACAACTGTAGTTATTCACTTGGCATGAAAGATCATAAAATGGGACAAAATTCAACCAACAATGATCTCAAGACTTGGCCACAGAAATGTGGGGCTCCATTGTGGTCATAAGTCAAGGACTATCTGTACTCTACGGCAGCTTAAAGAGCTCCTCTGATTCTTGGCTATTCCTGACTTTCAACTGTACCGCCTGAGCAATTATAATGTTATGCTTTCCAGAGAGGAAGAAGAGAATTATTGACCATAATAATATACTAAAATTTCAATTTCTTCCAGCTCAGCAAATGATACAGCGCATCCTTCCTTTTAGTTCTGCTCCAATCTAGTTAAACCACCTAACTTTACTCCAGTTATTACAATCCACCCCCACAGAAAGGGTCAAGACTGGTGACTGACATCCTGCTCTGTAGATCATCTCCCTACGAGCCCAGACTAGCAGGGAAGTCCACAGACCAAAGCAGAAACACCCAAGCAATTAGAACAATACCGCACTCCCGAAGGGACCTGCCACTGCCACATCCACCAGTTGATTTAGGAAAGATTGCACTGGTCTCCTAGTCACACCAACAAAACGCCGGCCATTTTGATCATGAGTGCATTCATCCAGTAATCTTAGCTAAGCACCACGGACTCTTAGTCAATGGTTGTCAACCTAGTCAACGCCGAAGTCAAGAAGTTTATGAAGCTCCTAAATCAGCGATGGCGAAGCTTTTCGTTATGGTATACCAAAAGCGTGCGCGCGCTGGCACCCACAATGCAATGCACCCCGCCCCACTGCACATGTACGCGCCTCCCAGCTGATTTTTGGCCTGTTTTTGAGGCTGTTTTTGCCCTCCCGAAGGCTTGAGAGAAGCCTCTGCAGCCTCGGGAGGCCGAAAAATAGGCCTTCCAGAAATACCGGAAATGCCCGTTTTCAGCCTCCAGGGGGTCTCTGGAGCCCGGGGAAGACTGTTTTCGCCCTCCTGGAGGCTCAAAGGAAGCCTTTGGAGGTGGAAAATGGGCCCGTTTCGGCACTTCAGGTATTTCCGGAAGACCCGTTTTTCAGCCTCCCAAGGCTTCCTGACGCGTGCCATAGGTTCGCCCTCACGGTCCTAGATTGTCTTTGAAATGTTATCTGAGTTTCATCTTGGCCTCCTGTTACCAAGTTAAAATTAGAATTATTCCGTTTTATTTTTTACGACAACAATCCTTTTGTGTATGGTTAGATAGTAGAAATTTGCAAATTGGGACTGACCTACTCAACCACAACAAAAAGGCATTCCAGATCAACCTGCCCCACATCTCTCATCTTAGCGCCATGGCATTTGAGGGGGTTATGTGTGAGTGTGGTCCATGCACTTCTAAAATTCTGCCATCTTTCCAGGGGTGCACCTCCTGTTCTCTTCTTCTGTAGTTTCACATAGAAAGAAGTTTATTTCTGCTGCACTGAATCTCGAACATGGTTTGTGAAACCAGTTCAGTTTCCAAATATCTTTGAACTTAAAGCCTTAGAAAATTTCCTTGCCCTTGGAGAAACTGGAGATCCTGAGCTCATAAACCAAGTTTGAAAAGTTTTACAAACTAATAAGGATATCTGTGCACATGACCTGGATGACTGAGAATCTCTACAGACTTACTACTGGTAGCTAATCATAACACTAGCAAATTAGTTCATATTCTTATACATTTCCACGATTAAATCCCACCTGGAAGCATTTCCGCTGTCAGAACTCAGCAATGATGAAAGAAGAGCATGGTGAATTATGGAATGCTACATTAGAGTTGCCATGTCACTTTTAAGTAATCTATTCCATGCCTCCAGGATGCAATGCTAAACAAAATTAAATAGTACCCAGAAATGTGAAGATTTGGGGATACTGCGAAGCACATGCATGTGTCCAGGTTGGGAAAGACCAAGATAGATACTACATTGCCCTTAACTCCACAGTCCCAACCAGTACCTTAAACCATGCTTGCAATAAATAAAGCACTTTGGAATTAAGATAGCATCCAACAAGAGATGTTTCAATCCCAGTTATGCCGGTATATCAACGTGTGGGATGATAAATCATATAATTAATTGTATAACTCCAGCATCAGTTATTTTACTTATTAAATGTATTTATCAATTACATTTATATGCTGCCCACCGCATTGTTAGATAACTGTGGACAGCCAGCTTACATCATAAAAGCATAACTACAAACGTTAAATATTAAAAGTTAAGAGAAATTAGGTATTTTAAGAGCCAGTATACAGATGGGATGGAGGTGGGGTCAATTACGATTTAGCAATGAGAGCATCTGGGCCTCCCTAGCAGAGTGCTAATTTCTAGCATAGGTCAAACCACTACCAACAGCTTAAGTGTTAGCACTGTTTCACTTAGCAATGCATTTCATCACACAGGAAAAGGGTTAGGGTATGGGACAGAAGCTAGAGGTATGGGACCTGGGATATCAAATGCAGTACTGGAGATTCTTTGAAATGCAGGAAATATCTTCCTATGAATTTTGAATGCTGCAAGGTGAGCTGCTAATATAGCATAAAGGTAGGCTGAGTAACAGACAGGGCCATTTTAAGGCCAGCATTCTGCTGCCTGCTTACAGAGGGGCAAATGTTTCTTGTGAGAACACAAAGCAACTCGTGACAGCAATACCTTTTCATTTTATTTACTCCTGACAACTGGAAATAAAAATTAGATTATCTTCAAAGGTGGAAGATCCCAGTTTAACTGCCATTAACACAACATCTGCATAAGCTCCAACAGGC